GGGTTCTCTAGCTCTCTAAGGATGGCGATTTGCATGGCGTGGAAGGGTGTTCCTGAGCCTAACATTTCAGCCGAAAATAGGTGGAGAAACTGGACATCCACGGTGTGCTCCGGCCGGTAGAAAGGGGAGTAGTTTTTCTGCCCTTTTATTTCTGTCCAGATTTCCTGTTTATGTTGGTTCTAATTTCAGTTTTATGGTTTGATAGTATTCTGCCGTTTTCTGTAATCTGTAAATGCCATTGGTATGTTTTGATTGCATAGTGTATACTGAGGTTATAACATTGATATATATATTGTCAAGTCTGATTTCTGGAGCATGCTATTAAACTCTGTCATTGTGGTTTAAATGAACTGCTGGAACTATATTATGCTTTGTATTGATTCCGCATTTAGGCTGTAAATTCCCAACAAAAATGAAAAAATAAAAAATAAAATTCAGGTTCCACCTAGAATCTGGCAAGTGCAACTACTGCTATTATCTCATTTAACTGCAATAAAAAGGCTTCCTTTTGACATAAGTAAACTAAAAATTCGAGGTTTAGGGTTCTTCAAGAGTTAATTTTTTCAACGGTCACTGAACTTTATAAAGTATCATGTTTCACTAACTGAATTTTAAGTTGCATCTCATCACTCACTGAACTTAGTAAAGGCGTACTCCATCCATCACCGAAGTAATTCCGTCAAAACGATTGCCCACATGGATACCGTTTTGCACACGTGGCCGTTAAATTACTTCAGCTGGTCATTAATCAGCCATGTCCTAAATTCCCAACACCCAAACACGTCTCACATGTGCAAATTTAACTATGGTACGGAATGGAACCGAATCACGTTATATATTAAATTTGTAGTGCTGCTGTAAATATTAAAAAATTTAATTATGGTACGGAACGAAACCGAATCGAATGGAACCGAACTGAACCAGAACAGTTTCATAATTATATTTGGACTCGACGGTTCCATTTATTAAATACCAAAAAGTTTTGGGTCTAGAACCGAACCGAACTGACTCACAGACAGCTCTAGCATCTGCTTTCCAAAAAACCTGTTTGTATCAGTCATCATTGTTCATTAAATGCGGCGACAGTTAAGTGTATTGAAAGGTGAACCACTTCAGTTGTCTTTTCTCGAAAACATATAAGACATCAAATCATTTAGACGCAATAATTAAGGATGTCTTGTGTTCTTAACGTTTCAAAAAACATACCTCCTCGGAATTAATGTATCACAGCTTCAACAAATAGACGAGATATACTACCTCAGCCTCAACATGGATTAGGGCTGTCCATGGGTCGGTTCGGTTTTAAAGAGACCCGAACCGACCCAAAACTTTCGGATATTTAAAAAATGGACCCGTCGGATCCAAATATAATTATGGAACCATTCGGGTTCGGTTCCGTTCCGTTCGATTCCGTACCATAATTAATTTTTTTAATATTTACAGCGACACTACATAAATACAACTAATGACATTTCATTCGTAACTTTTACAAATTAACGTAGCTCAATGTCACCCGAATACACATAAATGGGCAAGTGAAAAATGACAGAAAATTAGAAACTATGGTTAACAGTACAACCAAGCTTCAACGGTTTCGTTCGGTTCGGTTCGGGTCGGTTCGGTTCCGTTCGGTTCCGTACTATAATCAAATTTTTTAATATTTACAGCAACACTACATAAATACAACTAATGACATTTCATTCGTAACTTTTACAAATTAACGTAGCTCAATTCAAAAACATATAAATAACTAGCCGTCCAATTAGATTAATTACAAATGCCAAAAAATAGATATTAATATTACAGTAACACTACATAAAGTATATTCATTTGTTTCAAATTAAAATGGATTATTGGGTTTTAAAAATGATTTGGGTTTTAAAATTAAAATTATGAAATAATCTGATTCATTTAATTAATTTGCTAATTTGTTTAGAAAAAATTAAAATAATTTAATTAATTAAATATAAAAAATAAAAAATTTATTTAGTTTCGGTTCTTATTCGTTCTTCGGTTCTTGATTTGGGGAAAGAATTGATTTTGAATAGTGATATGATGGGAAATGTGTGGTTGAAAAAGAAGAAAAAATTATTGATGTGATGGAAAATATTATTTTATTGAAAAATGTGTGGTTGAAAATGAGAATTGATTTACTGTACAAAATGAAAATCTGTAGCAAACAGGCCCTTAATTTATGAAGAATCGCTCGGTTCGGTTCGATCCGGTTCGGTTCGGGACTTCTGAACACCCCTAACATGGATAGCTTTGGCGAGGCTTTAGGAATACAACACCCCTTTTGAACAACAACCTTGGATAAAAGGGCCTCAACTCGTGCTCCCCAACCTTTTTCAAAGAATCAGAAACTTCAAAGTGCACAACTTTGGACAATACCTTTGACAAGTACCTCAAGCTACATATAATAGCTCTACTTTTAAATTTTAATTATAATATAAATATTTAGATTTAGATTTGGAGGACCATTGTGGTTAAAAATAACCATTCCAACGATATTTTTTGTTTTTTTATCTGTGTCTGAAGTCCACGCATTACGTAAATAATCATAAATAGACTTGTGGACTATTGTTACCTCTTGCCACCGAAACTCCTATTTCAGGCCACACTGTAGTCCACTTGGGGACATTGAGTCAAATCTAACAAAGTCAACAAAAACCCAAATGGTCAAGATAAAGAAGAAGCTCATGTTCTTTGCTCTGAAGCTCCCTTTGGCCGAAGTAGTTCTTGTTTCATCTGAAGCCCCTTTGGTTGAATCTCAGGCTATCTTTTAGAGGATTTATGTGCAATCTTTTTGAATGATCAATGTAATGTTTACAATAATGAATGTTAGAATTTTCAGCCTAGGTTATAAGGTGGCTGACCTGTTATCATGTATTAAATGCATGGCAAACTGAGTAATGTGAGGCTTCAGCATGGGAGATGAGACCACATGATTTTTATCCATCGGCTACCACGTCTTCAGAACTTTATAAATAAGCAAATCTTGTAATATGTGAAGCGATTGCAACTATATACACTTGAAAATACACTTGGTTTCCTCACTTGCTGATTTAATATTCATTTGCTTGAGTTAAAATTATTCATATTTTAGTTGAGTTGTATGTGATTGTTTGTTTATATGCAATAGTCTTTGAACACATTGCCGATGTTTGAACACTTTTGTCTCAAAGTTGTAGAAAATTTTCCACGTCCATAAATGCCACCATTTTCTTGTTCGGATCGCTGGTCAAAATGTGTTGAAATTTGCTTACGTGGACGCGAGTAGGCCCGACATCTGTTGTCCACATAACCATTACAAAAAAAAAAGGGTTAACACTGAGTGTAAAATATTAGGTTTTAATTGCTATAATACAAGCAAACAAAATAAACATTCTTTATAGCTAATTTGTATTTACTTATAATATTTTCTAAAAAAAGAAAAAAAATTAATTATCCCTAAAAAAGAACTAATAATTTGTGATTCACTTGTAGTTTAGTGATTGGATAATTGCAATAAAAAAGTTCCTCATATGAGCATTCCACGCAACATGGGTTGGAAAATGTCACATTAGTTTGCATAATTGTAGCTCTTATCCATTTTGTATGTCTATAGCGGCTTGGAGTGCTTCACTTTTCAAGATTACTAATAGTTGTCCACCGTAAAGTTGACGAACCGGCGTGCTTACTTGGCACGACTCATATTTTAGTAACTTGAGCTAGATCGTGGTAGGCCTAAGCACTACCTCATGGTTTAAACGACATAATAGTTTGCAGCTGGGCACTAGTAGTTTGTGGTGGATCGATTAAGATTAATCAAAACCTTGACATATCGTACATTTTTGTTATGATGTGCCCATATGACTAGGTGGGCTTGCCGACCCTAGATTGTCTCGCTTTACACTGGTAGTCGAGCCTCCCACAGAAAAAAAACACAATCATATTCTGAAACATGTTATCAAAACAACATACGAATTGATCTCTTTATTTGCAAATCTTGAGGAATTACTGTAAATTAAATCACAAATGATACAACATTTAATTATGATCATCTGTTTGAGCAAAATTTTCTTTACTCAAGAAACAAATAAATCTCAACTCTTTGCACTCAACTAAATGTTTTATTAACTCAATTATTTTCCTATCTTTTAAACACTCGAAGATTACTCTTCAATTATGAATGCTCGGAATTGATATCTGCGTCAAAAATTAACATTTTGGAAGATCTTTAGGAGGTGGCAGAATAGATTCATTAGGGCTCTTTCCATTGTCCACCAAGAAAGCCATTTTTAGTCCCCATGTTGTGTGCACTTCCAAATGGCAATGCATAAACCATACCCCTGCAAAAAAAAAAAGGAAAAAAAAATCTTATTAGTTTAACAGTCTAGTCGTGTCTAGTTTAAGTACCAAATGTGTTGATAATGTTATTAATGTACCAGGATTATCGGCACGGAATCTTATAGCAACCCATCCACCAGATGGTACTCCAATGGTGTTTCTTTCGACAGGGTCGACAAGATTGAATTTCTTAGGATCAGTTTTCGGATTGAAATTTCCTAGGCCCCTACCAACAGCAAAGAAATTGAAGCCATGTAGATGAATAGGATGGTTCTCAGGGGCAATTATACCAGTATCTTGCAAGACCACTTGAACTGTTGCATTGTAAGGTAGCTTATACAGCTTGGTCCCATTAGTAGCCTGTAAATTTGCAGGAGGATTACCGGTATAATTAAAGGTAAATGGAGGATTCCCGGGGAAATCAGTGGTGAAAACTCCTTTAATCTTGAAGTAATGTGCTTGCAAAAGAGCAACGGTTGGCATAACAAATGTGATATTGTTTATACCAGCCACAACACGGCTTCCATTCCCAGCTTTGCACGTGGGACATGGATTAACTGCGAGCCCGACTGTGAATAACAGAGAATGATCGACTGTTACTGGCACTTTGGCAGGATATTTTTTTGAATTTAAGCTTTTGAGAGAGTTTGTGAAATTGTCGGCTACTGGGGTGGCATTTTGAGGTGGAGGACTAGTTAACATTGTTGGGGTACTAGAAAGTGTTCCGGTATAGTGTAGCGTGGCAGTTGCTGTAAGATTGTCGATAGCTACCACCGGAGTGTCCATGAAAGTGGCGGCTGCCACCAGGTACCTCCCCGAGCCCTTGTCTGCCGCCAGGATGACATTGGTGGTTTGGCCAGGAGCGACCAGAATCGTGTTGGTTTTGAAAGGTTTAACATATGTAGCATCAACTTCTACTACTGTCATTTTGTGTCCTGCAATTTTGAAGAAGAGTTCTTCATTGAGTGCAGCATTGATTACTCTTAGCATGTAGGTTTTCCCCGGTTCAACATTCAATGTGTAGCCCTCTGCATCATCAAATTTTGATTGGAACCATTAATTTTGTGAAAATATTGTACATTCATAGACATATTATGCAATTGAAAGTTTGGTTTAGTACTTGTAGATGAACAATTTGGAACTAGTCCTGGAAAGCCATTGATTGTGTGAGCATCAGACACATTTGGCGCCAAACCGGACTTCATGGCCTCATTTATCACGGCTTCAGTATCCGATTTCCACCATTCAGCTGCAGTATTGAACTTTTAGTCGATTATTCAAGAAATACAATGTATTTACACTTGAACCTTAGATGAGCGACTCCTATGCTCATGCAAGTGTGTATGCTCAACCATGAAAATTGAATGGCCTAAAAGAATGTTTAACAATCGACAGTATTAAAGAAAAAACAATCTAAAATCTTATTTTTATATTGTCGAGTTTAGTTGAATCTAGTATTGCGTACTAAAGATGATACGAAGCTCAGATCAAAATATGAGCCCGTCCTCACCTAAGATAACCACACGTTCGTGATCAGGTTTCGGGAAAGGATATGGGACACCAAGCTTAGGCAAGATGACTAATGCACCGTGGACGGTGGACCTCAACCATAGAACATGAGCGTGCCAAAGTAGTGTGCCCCTTTGGCCCGTGAGGGTGAAGTTGTAGACATAGCTTTGGCCTGATTGGATGGGACATTGCGTGATGTATGCCGGACCATCTGCCCATCCTGTTCGAAGTTGCCTTACGCCGTGCCTACCATTTGAAAGAAACATGTAAATTTTCGTTTGGACAATAATTTTCGTTTAATTTAGCGTCTTACCAATGAATAGACACGTTGTATTTTACGTGGTTGACGACCTTGACAAGCACCGTATCATCTTCCCTTGCGTAGATGGTTGGACCTGGAAAATTTCCATTGACAGTGACTATGGGTTTGGTCGCACACAATCGAGTAGTGTTTTTCATCACCACCTGCACATGAAAACCACTGGCCATCATAACTCTTGTCTAGAATAATTAGAAAATCCTATGAATGAAGAAAATCTGCATGTTGTTTGCTAGTACAGTAATAGAAAAATAACTTAGAAGGCTGCAAATTGATAAATGGTTGTACCTTCCATTTTTGTATAATTTTGACATTTTTCCTCTATTTCTTTGCAATTTAGGTTAACCACCTTAGCTAATTGTAATTACCTTCAATTAGCAATTGCCAGCCAATGCATAGAGTACTTTGCATAGAAAGAGAACTTTGCATGCATGTTGCAAATAGAAGTTAACTGCACGTTAGATCTTTTGGGTTATCCAAGAATTTTAAGACTAGTCTCTATTCCTTAATCTGGCTCTGGCTCGTTAATTCTGTTCAGTTTAACGTGCAAGATCCGATAGTATTGTATATCAAACGGTACCAAAAATATGCTTTAAAATATATGCAATAAACTTACATTAAACTTGTAATGGCGAACCCTGCATTCGACAAATGCAGGAAACAAACATCCTACTAAGATCAAAACTCGAATCCATGTCTCCATTATACTTCTCGTCCGGCCAAGTTCCCTCTCCAATCTCTCTCTCTTATCCTATATGTAATCTCTCACTCTCTCTCTCTATGAGTTGATATATGTCTTTCCAGCTTGTTGTAGTCGGATAGAACTGGCCAACGCATCAATTTATAGGTCGTAATGGAATTTGCTGCCATGTCGTTTTTCCTTAGTTAGGTGGAAGGGATGGATCCTTGAGTTATAAGACTAATTCTTCGGCAAAACTATGGTTTTCAAGTCTTTTCTTAAATTCTACATAAAGTAGCTTTTTGATGGATTAATCTAGTTTTTAATTTATTAAATTTAGATCTACTTATAAGCTGTTCCTAATCACATTTTAGTTAAATATTTTCGTTACTTGTCTCACCAAAAGAAAAAGAACAAAAAAACATCCTTAATCAATTCATTCGTTTGCTTAACTTGTTACTCAGAGTATATTTGACGTAGAATTTTTGAAAATAGATATTGTGGGAAGTGATACTTTTTAAATATGTGGGATTTAAAAAGTAAAGGAAAATTATTGATCTACGTGTAAAACTATTTTATCGAAAAAAATTACAGTTGAAACTGAGTTTGATGAAAAATGAGCTTTTAAGAATCCTCACCAAACATGGGCTAAATTTGGTTTTTCCAAGTAACATACTGCATGAAATGTGGCTAGGCTTGAACCATATGTGCAGAAATGTCCGATTGTGGGAAAATTTAGAGCCTTATTAACTATGTATTATAGTTTAATATAGGGTTTTATATTGGGTACTATATAAAAAAATATAGAATATAGACTAATTTTGGATATAGTAGAGGATTTTTATTGAATGAAAAAGGATGGACGGACAAGTCTCGTAAGGAGCAAGTCAAATTTTAAATTAAGTATTCCGAATCAAGAATCGAAGTAGTACAAATCGAGATATGACCAATTATCTTTTATGTCCGAGCGAGGGAAAATGCAATTTTTTTTGAGGAAAAGAAAATAATTACGATAATAACAGAAAACAATAAGGAAACACTTCAATTTTTCTTCCCCAGGACATTTCCACAAATAAAATAAATGCACTGTCTAAACAAAAACAAAAGAAAAAATTTAATGACTAGGAAAAAAAGAAAAAGGAAAGAAAGTTATAAATTAAAATAATGAATGTGACATTTTATAAATGACCGTGCTACTCTACAAGATTGGTGCAAAATCTGATAGAGCCATGAGTCGGGGGGGGAGGGGGGTCCCGAGGACCCACCTCATGTGAGGCAACCACTCTACCAGGCCTTTTACGGCCTTGTAGAGTAGTTTAATTCTTTTATAAATTGAAGTCCACTTGGTAATTTCATATCCACATATTCTATTAAATTGTTTGACATGAAACAATGAAATATAAAGCCACGTTTGATAGAACACATTTTCCATGGGATTGATAGGCATAATTTTTCCGGAAAAATATTTCTAACTTTCCAAATTTTCCACATTTTTTGAGGAAAATAAATTCTTCATGTTTTGATAAGTAAATATTTTTCAGGTGTTTTTTTTTTTTTTTTNTGGTTTTATGTTTTCTAGGTTTTATTTTTTATTTTTTGACAATTGGGAAATATTCTAAACACAATGATAAAAAAAAATTATCACTTTTATTGACAATTTTCATGTAAAACAAAGTCAAACGAATGATATTCGATATGGTTATTTTTTTTTCGATTTTTTTTTTTTTTTGTTGCAATTGGGACGAATTCCAGATCAATTGTAAAAAACATTATCACTTTAATAGACAATTTTCATAAAAAAACAAAGTCAAACGGATACCAAATTTTCAACATTTTCCATGATAAATTATATCAATCAAACATAATTAATTACAATTTCCAATAAAACATTTTCTTTTCACCTAGTTTTAGGCAATATATATATATATATAATTTTTGGGTTTGCAAAGAGATTGTTTGAAAGCTAAGATTTTATTAAGCCAACCGTCGTACGATGGGTTCACTAACAAGTAACAACTATGAATCTACCACTTTCCCCAAACCCTAACCCCCATAAATAATTATTAATTAAATTACAGTCAAGTAATTTGGAATGAGTCTTTATCATCTACATGGGATTACATATAATTTCTAAATTCCAAGAGTTCAGAAACACTAAAAACATTTTTTATTGGCTGGGATCCTGGGGTGGATGGGTTATCATATGCTTTTCATATTGGTTACAACTACTAATACTTCATATTTGAAATATATAGCATGGAAATTTCTAATGAAATCTTTTTAGGTGAAAAGTTTGTGGAGAAACAAAACGAACGTAAATTTCATTTTTTGGGCTAAAGTATTTGATTAATTAATCCAAAATTTATTTCGCGAGTGAATCAAATATACAACGTTAAATGATCGCATCATGCACTTTTTTTGAAATGTTCGGTATGTTGAACGGCAGCTAAAAGTTATTTTTATAAGTCTTCGTAGTTAATGTTGTCTCGTACATATGTTGTCTTCGTATTACTCACTTTTTCTCCGACCTACCCCTCTTGTTCGGTTAACTATAATGATATTTTTAGATCTTATTTTATGTAAACTAAACTATTTAATTATATTATTATTAATTGACAAATGTTAAGATGTGACAGAATGTAACAATTACTTTCCTTTTTTTTTTCTTTTTCAAATTACACCATAAAAATTTGTGGACAAAAAAAATTTCCTCTATTTCTCTGCAAAGTGAAACCCAAAAAGAATTATAATTATAAGAAAAAATAATAATATGTACTGAATTGAGTGCAATACATGCCTCAACCACTAATAAAATGACATTTCTTCGTATTTGGGCAAACCCTCAATCTAGAATAACCCTAAAATGGAAAAATTAAATTTAAAGGATCATAGGAAGTAGAAAAAAATTATTTAAGGTTATCTGTATCTTTCCATTTTATTTTATTTTATTTTGAATACAAAATTTAAATAAATAAGTTTATCTTATTTTCAAAAATTCTCACATGCTCCAATTGTGAATCATAGGTAAGCTTAGAAAAGAACTTGATATCTGAAGCAAACAATGATGTGTCGGCTTACATTTTACGTATTGTACCTTGGAGAGTTTTACCTATGCGGATTAAGCTAGTTGTGTCAAGAACAATTTTATTTATTATTATGATGACATTTCAAGTTGATGTGTCAAAATTCTAGTGGAAGACAGGAATTAACGTGAAAATGAAACAATAGATCTCGACTCTTGGATTTTCACACTTCAAATCACGATTGATTTGAAAAGAGAGTAGCGAGTTTTTATCTTACTAAGGCTATATGGAGTATTGGATAGGGATTTGAAACTACGAATATAATTACTTTTTTTAAGTTCAAACAGCTTAGCCAATAAGAAAGAATTTGGTGAAACACATCACTCACGTCTCTCTTGACTAAAAGTGCGTTTAGTTATGTAAACGTTTTATTCATAAAAATCTTTTCACATTCAAAAGTATTGAACTTGGCTTTTCTTGAGTTTGCGACGTGCACTCCACAAATTAAGGTCAAATGAGTTATAATTTCAAACAGAGGCAAAATTACAATGTAATTCTCTCACAAACCTCAAATCTACATGTACACTCAAGTGGGAAAACAAAAAAAGAGAGACCATGGTTGTAGTAAATATTTTGTAAAATTGCAATTACAGTCAATTTCCTCTCGAACCAAACAAGGCGAACCCAACTACGAAAAACTTGCGTGCTACATATTGAGGTTAAGTATCAGACACGTCAACTCTTGAGCTTGACTTTTCTTCAGTGAAAGTGTTCGTCACTTCAAATGTTCGTGTAACGAGAAATAAAGTTTTTTAGTCCACATTGATCCTAACACTTCACCTTTTTCATCCATAATATTTGGAGAATTGCATGAACAAGTCAGTCACATAGAATAGCTTTTAACTGCACTTTTGTAAGGTAACGGTCTTAAAAAAGTTAAGACTAGACTTTCGAATTTGGGTCCATTAGTCTTAATCTTATGATGAAGTTAGGATTTACTTATCAATCAAATCAAAGATTTCATCTCCAATACCAAATCCAAGCATTCTGGTCATGTCTTTAGGCTTTAGTATTGGCACTGAAATGTCATTTTCCTTCAATTCGACGAGTATACAATAAATACTTTCTGCATAATGAACAATTCTAGTGCCTCTGGGTTTAATACGACTCCCATTCTCATACTTATCTGCCAACCATAAAAACCCGGAGTTGGAAAACTTGTAACGCGTATGTTGAATTTTCACCTTATCTAGAAGTTTAAAACAAGACATTATTTCACATACATGCCGATTCAATTTTGTTTTGGAAACTTAAAGTTGCTGAAGGAAGAATTGAAACCATTAATCTGGTTTTGGCACTAAACAGAATTTTTAGCATGTCTAACGTTGCCTATGTACAATTTGAGATGTAGGAGAAGACAAACTTTTGTAGTGATGAGTTTTGTAGTGATGAGTAGGCACATGAACTTTATGAACAACTACGCTGTCTAAACGTTTATGTTTGGCAAAGCTGAAAAATGATAATTTAAGCTCGGTGATCATACTTTTTATCAACAAATTTCGTAGGATCCACACATTTATAAGTACTTAAAGAAGCTACCAAAGAAAATGTTTTCGTGTGCACAATGTAGGTCAATATGATACTTGGTGAGGCACCAGCATAGCTGCATACCATGCGAGCTCTCCTGCTCGCCAGTCCAATATAGCAGGGAGCCATGGATACACAACATCCAGCCGAACGAACCACAACCTTATATCAAGGAATTCAGATAGCTCTTGAGGATCATATTAATCCTCTCTAGTGTAATTGATCATAAATCCAATAGTACGTTCCAATAACTCCTTTGGATTCGCATTTGCAGCAAGAAAATCAACTAATGTAATTATATCATGTTAGGATTTATACTGTATTGACAATTCTTTAAACAAAAGGATTATTATAAAAGAATAGAATTGTTATAAAAGAGTTGTAAAGGTCAATGAGTCTTTTAAAGTGTTGTAT